CCTTTTTTTTTCCAAAACCTTCTGACAGCCTTCAACCTGGCTGGTCGCCTTCGTAAAGAAGCATGCTGAGATATGCTGAGACATCACCATTGAAATCGGGTGGATCTGCATCGTCTGAAGTCCCAGATTTGTCCACACATGACGCTCCCACTTGAACCACACAAACATTGCCTCTGGTTGATCCCTGGTTTGCTCCCTCCCTAGAAGTCAAAAACACATCCAAAGACTATCATTTTGCCTTAGTGAAGTAAAGGGAATTCTTGTTTTAGTCTTTGACTCCCAAGGTATGGATATGGTCCATCTCCAAAACCTGCAAGTTGGAGTCCTCCATTTGTCAATGGTTCATCCGTTCGTTCACGCGCGATTCCCGCGAACGTATAACTTGGCGACGAAAGCAACGAGACCAAACGAGACCTGCTTAGCCGTGAACATGTCGATGCCAAAAGACTCTCAAGACTCTCCCTTGTCGAATGGTCCAACGGCCGAGTTGTGGGATAGCTAATTACGTGACTCGTTTTTGGTGGCGCGGCCGCGCCTGGCAGACTGCACCTTTGGCGAGGCTGCTTTCCTGGGTCGGACCGGGGATTCCAAGCTGCTCTACCGTAGACTGACTCCAAACCGCCGGTTTCTGTGTAAAATCGAGGTGCACCGAACGAACTCCACCAGGTTATTTTGCAGGTGATCCGCTTGTCCGGCCGTATGGTCAAAAAGATCCGATCCGAGAACGATCCACTCAGGATGTCGCCGGTTTCCACTCGTGAAAGAAACAAGCAAACAAAGTCAAGTGCAAACAAAGTGAAAAAGGACCGGAATGTCCTGTCTTGTCCCTCACTTCTGAAACATATACGACAATCTCTACCAGCACCGAAACCAAAAGGTCTTCGAAATGGAGGCACTTGTGCAGACTTCAAAGATCGCAGGTGATGATGACCCTCCGAAAGCTCGCATCACTTCGTCTCCCATCTCAGCCGCCCACGGACGCGCGTGACAGTGAACGGCAAAGTTCGTGCTCGGCCTCGGCGGGCGACCCGAAGGGCCGTGGTTCATCCAGGATTCGAAACAAAGGTGTGATGGATGCTGGATGGAATTGGGATGGTTTTTGGAATCCAAGTGAATACCAGAAACGAATCATACTTCACATTACTTCACTAATTACTAGAGGTCACTGACACCCATTCTTTCGCTCATTCTCTCCATCTATGGATTTTCAATCACAAGCCAGTTGAATCTTTCTTTTGGTCGATCTTTCAAGGCTATAGGGCTCCGTTTTCGGCTTTGCTTAGCTGTCAAGCTGTGCTCTGCTTTCTTTTTCGCTTGCTGAGAAAACCGAAATTCAACACGTTTGAGCTGCTCATGATTTTCCCTCTTTGCAGGGTTGTCTCGCACTGAAGGTGTGACGGCCAGAAACCACAAACGAACTGACCCCTTGACTGCGGCAGTGCAGTTGTCACAGTTCTTAGAACACTCTGCTTTGGTTTCTTCAAACCCTCCCCGAAACAATCATGGAAGTGGTTTTAAGTCCCATCCAGTGAGTGGATGTGACAAGAAAACTCCAAATCTGCTTGGAACAGTGGCCAAAGAAGGGTCGAACCAGATCGAGCTGGGGCCGGAGGTACCTGGACCCTATGGGAAAGGGCAGGAGGCCCTTCTCCCGGCTGCGTAACCATGGGTGACATGACTGGACGAATGTGGGGGGGCCAGCGCCGACCAGCTTCGATCAGAGGTCGAGTTCGTTCGCCGTGTTCGCCCGTGGGCGAGTCGGTCGAGGCAAGTCATGCGGTGTTCCTTCGAAGCGACGTCAGCGGTGATCACCAGCGCCACCACAGAAAAACCCTTCCATGCGAACTCCTTTCCCCACGGAAATCGGAAACTCAGCACATCCCCCCAGTGCAGTTCATTGACTTCGATTGCTGGCTGTAATGGTTTCAAGATAATCTTGGGTGTGATCCCAATCATCTTGCTCTTGCTGCTCAATCATCTCGTCAATCCAATCACCGTCGACATGATCATCATCAATTGGTTCATCAATGTCAGATGTCTCATAGAAATCCTCGCCTCTCTGCCAGGTATAGTCAGACGGATCATCACTTGAGCAGGGCTGATATCTCTCCTCCACGATAAGATCCTCGGAATCAACAAGGGATGTCATGTCAATGATGCCGCCAGGGGGACACTGCCCTTTCTTTCCCTTGATGAGTTTTCTCGCCATCGTGAAATTGAACAACTGACGAGCATTGATGGCGACCGGCCGGTGTTCTTGATCACTCCTGTCATGGGTCCATAGGCCGGCGCGGAATCCCACAAGCGCCCTCCCATCGTTTGTCAACATAGGAGCGCCAGAATGGCCTGGCAGCGTCTCAAAAGAATGATAGGATACGCCCAACAGAGGCGGCGAATCCTTGCTGTAGAGCACTGGATCAGGCACAAGCGATCCAACGCAACGGTGGAGAATGTGAGCTCCATCAGTCGGTGACCACACGTAGTGGTATGTTGAAAACGATTGTTCAGCATCAAATACAAAACTGCAGTGTCTTGGTGCGGAGACCAAGCGCACTGCCAAGATTGGGAATCGACAAGAATGCAACATCGCGCGTCAAGACGTGCTCGGGCTTGCCAACATGAGCTGGAGGGAAGTAACAATCAATGGACTCTGGAGAGGCATGTAGGTACTTCGTGGTTCCGGGCCTGTCCTTAAGCACCGCTGGAGTCAAAATGATTTCAGCTCCGGCGATGAAATGCTCGCGCATCGTCCTTGGTCCAATGATCAAATGCTTTGGGACGATCATGCCACCAGTGATTGCATACCCATAACCAACTGGGATACTCTTATATAAGCTGACCATCAGTCCGGTAGTGTGCCCAGACCGCAACAACCCTATCGGGTTCAATCTGAGCAACACTGATAGAAGTTTGACCTGCGCACGGCAGTACTTGCGCGTTGTTGGGAACAACACATTGCGCGGATACATTAGGCAAGTGCCCAAGCCGTCGCAATCAACAGTAAACCCTGTGCCAGCACGGGAAATCACTGCACTGCGCCGATCTTGGTGGCCACCACATATGACGAGGTCACAGCGGCGGTCGCCTCAGCTGCCAACCATGTTGACCAATAGTGGAGTCCACGAAACAACATCACGATCCAGTCAACGAACTTTTGAACGACGGAGGAGGACATAGCCAATCCTACACGCACAAGCCAAGCACAAAATGACTTGATGTCCGTCAACGATTTTGTTGCTGCTATCCCACCAGCAAAGGTAGCCACTGATGACTGAACACTTTGCGGGACATTGCTGGTCACAGTCTCTTGGGCCAAAAATGCTGCACTAATGTGATGCCACCACTGCCACTGCGATCGCAGGACATGTAGCAAAACATTCGTTGCAAAACCCAGACACTCCATGTATGCTATATATGGTTACATTGCGGTGGTTTGGGGGGTCAATGTAGGCATATATGGCATACATGGAGTGTCTGGGTAATTGACAGATACCATGAAAATGATGAACCATCAAATCGCGACTCAGCGTGCAAACATCCAACGTAGCAAGCAGAATCACCACCCCTCGCAAGATGCTCCGCGACAATGTAGTTGTAACGTTGAACAAGCTTGATGCCGATCATTGTCGTGAGGAAGCAGGTAACGAGCAGTAGCGTCAGGGTGAGAAGGATACTGCACCAGCGAACTTTCTTGTCAGTAGAGCGAACAGTATAACCATCTGGGGCCTCTGTGACGACGGGTGCCGCACATGGAATGTAGCTCGCCTTCAATCGACACGCTTCGATGAGGAGATCAGCGGCTGTAGGCTCAGCCGTCCCCCAGCGAGGATAAGAAAACTTGACCGTCGAATAGGCGATTGGCTGCCAGAAAAGCCTTGTCAGACTTTTCAATGTGGTACATAAGGGGTTGGGTGGCCATCTCTGGGGCAGCCCGGGTGGCCCAAACAAAGGCCTGGCCTGGGAGCCCATCGTGTTGACGATCGATATAGATAAACACGTCCAGGCCTGGAAAAGTAGTAACCATGGTAAATCCGGCTTTTATACAAAATGAATCAACATGAATCAACTACCCTGTGCCTCACTAAGGTCACTAACATGGAATTGGAGTTTACCACCTGTTTGGTCTTCGGAACATGGTCTTCCCAGTGGCCAGCACGTCCATTTCCATGTGTTCGGAGGGTATGTAATGGCATTCGAGTGGCGGCGCAGGGCGCGTCATCCGCATTGTGGTGCCAGGGGAATGACACCTCGGAGCGCTTCTCTCAGAGAGTCCTCCGGTCTCGGCGCTTCGTCTCTGCCGGCCGTGGAGGGAGGCGAAGCAACCCAAGCATGGGCTGTGCAGTTTTTTTTTCCCTCCCCTTGCGGGTGCAAATTTCTTAACTTCTAGCAACCCTTTCCAGCCCATCAAAGGCCTCTCCATGAATCAAGGGAACTTGGTAAGATTAAGTGCTTAGTAGCTTACAGTAACAAATCAATTGGATCTCAGCTTGCCTGGATGGACGTTCGTGTGGGTCGGCCTCTTTTTCGAGCACGAGAGGTTCAAGCTGAACTCCACACTGGACGCACTACATGTCGGTATGCCGCTCGCGCACCCGCCCGCGCATTTGGCGTTGGCCTGCTACGCGCGGGAAATATGCGAGACAATGCGAGGCACAACTAACACTTGGCCACGTGTGTTCGGGTTTGGCATTCTTACATGGCATGGCTTTGCAGCGGTGGCCTAATTATGCATGAACAACTGCGGCTTTCTTCTCGGTGGATGTGTTGAGATCTCCAACATGAAGAGATGGCCCACTGCAGGTCCAAATAAATGGACCATGATAGGAATATATATATATATAATGGGCAATTTGTAGTTACAAACTGTGTGCAATGTGCAAATCCTCACAGCTTGAATATGCATTGACGATCCAACACCCTCTAATAGCATGTTGAGCCTATTTCAGTCCTCGAATGTGGTCAGCATGAAAGGCCCCCGCCCAAGTTTGAACCAGCTCCCCTGTGGGTTGGTCAATTCAGCCAATGTTCATCAATTTTCCAAACCTCGAGGCCAAGTTTTCACAAGTTCTGCAGCCTCACCAAAGGCTTTCCACTTGGCTGTTGCAGTCGGGCACGTATCTTAAGCTCTCCTGGAAAAACACATTTGTACAGCGTTGTGGGCGAGGGAACGGGGGCGCACGGGGGCAAGCAAAACGACATGGGAACTGCCGGAAGTGCTAAGATCAAGAACATGCATGAGTTGGACATGTTTCTGTCGTCTACAGTGGTACACCCTCCAATTCAAGGCATGCCGACAAATCAGGCAAATACACTCCCAGCAAATAAAATGACATAGTCATGGAAGCGGATGGCACGGTCCGCGTTGGCCCATGACTGACATCAGTGTAGATGCTACGATGCTCGACTGACCCTTCCTCACCCTCCAATGATGAATCCCTTCATCCTGTTGGGCCCACCGCCAGACCCTGTCTTCTGTTGACCCAGTTCGATTCTGTCTACCAGGTGGGTGGGACATGGAATCAAAACAGTATCTGTCCCCCACCCTCCCCCAACTTCCTTCGCCACGTGGGAGCACCAGTCTGGCTTCGCACCGCTGTGCGCACCAGCATGTGTCGTCGGCGGCGGACCAGCACCCAGGTCGTCGCCGGGATGGCGGTGGTCGTACATGCCTTGCGGATGGCGGTGGTCGTAAACACCAACAGGTTTCTATCCAATCAAACCCAGACACGACCCATGGGACTGGAACATATGCCGCCCCAGACAGACCCCCTGGCACCACCCCATGGGTCGTGTCTGGGAAAGGGAGGATGCTAAAGCAGAAGCAGAATCGGGGAAGAACATCCAAAACATGGAGACGTGAGGCCTGACTTAAGTGACTTTTTGGTGGATCAATGGCCATTTGGAGAGAGAGAGAGAGAGCACACCAAGGGGAATGCTTTTATAAGAAGCATCACGTTGATGTGTGGAGAACATCAAAGGGTGAAAACTTCAAACAACGTAAGATGAAACTTAAAGGCGAACACTTTAATCCAACCACCAACATGTAACAACAATATACCACCACCATCACCATCACCACCACCACCACCACCACCACCAACAACAACAACAACAACAACCCAAAAAAACACACACAATAACTTCTCCAACAGCATATGAAACTGATATGAACCTTATAATGTTTCATTATGTCTCAGAATGTTTCATTATGTCTCATCCTTTATCCAGCACACCAGCCTTTTGTTCCATCCGGAGTTCGCCTTTGTCTCACCTTTCATTCTCTTCGGTGATTTTGTCATAGTCGTTTGACCAAAAATCACCGCCCGCAGTTCCGTGGATGGAACGGGGCTGCCCGATGTCCCGGCCTGCCCGCTGTCACTGCCCGATGTCACTCCATACCAAGTAGAGAGGTTATAAGTGAACCTGTGACCTTACCCTGCTGGGATAGCTATGGGATAATCTATAGGGTTCTTCAACCTCTGTTGATATCACATCCACATCAGATCCGGCGAGCCACTCCGCTCCCACTCCGCTCCACCGGGACCCTCGGAGGTTGAAGGAACGACGTCCCGACAGCCGAGGGACCGCCCCGGCAGTCTGCCACGTAGTTCATGGCTGCTTGCGATACCCACTTGCACCACTCCTCGCGGTGCGCGGAGGGTTTCGTTGGGTACCCGAGAAGTGTTTAGGTGCGGTGAGTGGTTGGAGCTCTGTACCATAACACGGGGGGAAGCCGAAAGTCACATAAGGATCCCATGGAGAAACATAAGGAAACGTACGGATCCCAGTAATCCTCATGGAGAAAAGTTAAGGATCCCTTTCTGTGACAACTGTGCCTTTTTCGTTGGTGGTAGAGGAGGTGCTATGTTACGTTGGTCATGTTGGTCTTGAGATGTTTGCATCCAAGAATGACGTCAGTGCTTGGCAGGTGATAGCCCTTGCGCCAAGATGTTGCTTGTGTGGGCCCAGTAGGAATCCCAATCCAAATGGTTGGTCGTGAGCCACTCAAGGGTAACACCTCGTGATGTCAGCCGCCCAGTACTGGTAAGATGGAAAGAGGTTGAAGGAAATCACACCACCCAGCATGTGCCACTCTGTCACTGTAGTATGAGGTTTACATATCATATTTGAGTGAAGAAAATCAGACGTGAATACTTTGAAGATCACCAGCATTCACCAGGCCTTCCCCCAAGATTCACCCGATCAACTGAGAGCTCCGGGAGCCAGGACTCCCGCCGGCCCTGCAGAGCCGAGCGTGGGGCTTGCCATCAGGGCCTAATGGCCCCTCACTGGGCTCCGGCTTGCCGAACCAGCAGGGAGGCACCACGAACTGGACCAGCCTCAGTCGAGGTTCGACGCCCAAGCTACCAGCTACAGGCGACCAGCTGCGCAGCGGAAGGGGGCCCAGCTGCGGAAGAAGGAAGAGCGTTGGCTCGAGGGCATGGTTTTGGGTTCAGGGCCCATAGTTGGGGTTGGGGGAGTGTGTCCATCACGCTTGAATGTTCAAGTCTTTGAATCTTTATTTGGGGCTAAGGGCATAAGAGTTGAGATGAAAGGAACTTGTTGGGCTTTGAAGGAATTAGTTAAGAAGACGCATCGCTGTAGATCACGGAGTGCCCCTGTAAAGCATGGGTTCTTATTGCACGCCCAACGAAGGCTTAGGGAACATGTGCCGCATAAAATTGGGTGCAAGCGGGTGCGTGGTGAGCTTCCAGGGATTTAGGGGGCCACAAAAAATATATATGGACAAAACAAAACAGAACAATTAAACATAATCAAAACAAATCGACCATAATTGAAAAATCATGCATTTCTGGGAGCTTCCAGCACAAGCAAACGCAACGGAAAGTGTTTCGAATAGGCTATGACACCGGACGGAAGACACGAGACGCCCTGAGCGCCATTGGTGAACAAGTGGTGGTCGGTCTTTTCTGGGCGGAAATGGCTGGCTCCATTCGGTCCATTCGGCCAAACGAGGGACGGCCTGTCATGTCTAAAGGAGAGAGCTGAGGGATCCGGTCGTACCTTCTCAGAAGGCAGGACCCTCCTGGCACCCACCCCAGTCCCACCGTACCTGAGGTTCGGTACGACTGGATCCCTAGGGGAGAGAGCTGAGGCATCTAAAGAATGGCCTGCCATGTCTTCCAGTCCAGCGATCGTGATCGACTGGAAGAGCGTCCAACATCGATGGCGGAAGACCGCCACAGTCCGGCGGAAGGACAGGACCCAAAGGGAACCACTGTCGGTACTGAAGACATTGCCGATACAGCAGCAGAAGCAAAAGCAGAAGATAGAAGATAGAAGAAGATAGAAGAAGAAGAAGAAGAAGAGAAACAAGAAGAAGGACAAGAAGGGAAAGAAGACACATAATGATATATAATTATATAATTACCAATATAAGAAAAAGAAGAAGAAGCAGCAGCGCGACCGAGCGCTCTCCGTTCGCGTGAGTGGTATGTTCCGCTAGAGCGAAAACACGGATCTCGAAGGTGAAGACATGTGAAAACGAAGACGAAACAAATCCAACCGTGCCAAACAGTGGTGATGATTGGTGATGATGGCCACTTCATGAAAGATGTCCCCATCAAAAATGCTAGAACAACTGAACAACTGGAAACTTAGGTCTGCAACCTTCTTCTAGCTAAACACTTGCAGCAAGGTATGTCCCTCAGTGTAATTCCAAGCCCTTCCCAGCGAAGGATTTGCAGTTCTTTGGTTGGCAAAATTGGCCACAAACACACGAGCAAAAGCATCTTCAATCCAAAGCAGGATCTTCAGCTCCCCCCAAATGGCTCTGAGGCACAAACAAACCATCTGCTGATCAAGAGTCCAAGAACCAAGAACGGTCGGAGGTTTTCACTGGGGTGTAGTCTACAAATACCCCCAAAAAAATGTGATAGCTTCGTGAGGAACGAACCAATGGTGGCTACTATAAGGAAGGCCACCACCGCTTGACTTCCACCGTCGGTGAGGTTTTTAATTCATGGCCAACCAAGACGGACGGCGGACGGCCCGTCGACGAAGTCGACCAGGTCACCAAGGGATGTAGCCGCACCAGTGAGGTGCGCTCGTCATCAACTTACCTGAATGGTGCGTACCCGGTCGGTCCGTGCGATGACCGGTTTGGTGGAGCCGGTAGCCCCTGTGGATAGGTGATCTGCATCTCTGGGCACATGTCGCCTGCATCAAGGGCAACCCCCGTTTCGACCATATGGGTTTTTGGGATGGTTTTGGTCTATGCTTCTTCTTCGAGGAGGTCGGCCTTGGTCTCCCTACACGCCCCTTTTTTGCCTCAAGCACATGAGGCCTAGAAACCTCTCGGGGAGATTCCTCGCGATTCGCTGAGACGCTGGAACGATGGAAGGAAGGTCCTCTCCTCACACTTGCAGGACATGGAAGGTTCTTGTATTGTTACACTAATTAGTCCATTCCACCCACCACTGAGGACTGGTTGCCCAACCTTTATTTTGTGGGTCTTGGAAGGCTCTAGGGGGTTAGTATCCCAGAGGTCCTGAACCCATCATGGACAGCTCTTCTTCAGCCGGAATCTTGGAATTGCTTAAGGAACCTGGACAAAAACAAACATACTGTATTCACCAGAAGGGTTTTTAATGGTTTTTACATGGGTTTACTAATAGGACACCTACCAAATCACCTTAAGCAAAACCCAACAATGGGGCCGTGCGGCCCACTCACCCAAACCAGGCTGCTCCGATTCCAACACCCCACCGTTTTCGGTATACCGATCTTGGCCACGGGGCCATAGACCACGTCGCTCGAGCTGTTCTGCGTGTGGTCCAATTCCATGAGCACTGCTGCCTCAGGGCGCCAGGCCCAATTCGCCTCCCGCTGCCGCCTCAGAGCGAACTGGTGCAGCCTTTAGCATCCAAAAAGGACTTGGCTTCCAATGTCACTTCGGCTTGGCTTGGAATCACCCGAAGGTATGCTGATTTCCCTCACCTTTCAACCAAGTGTATGGTGCTAGGATCTTGCGAATGGCTCACCACAAAAGGAGAGACCACCGCGGAGTTACCGCTCTCTTGCACCGGTTTGAGGGCTCCCAATCCGCCAGTGGGCGCCTGTCTTCATGGAACGAAGAAGCACCGTCATAGAGAAACGGGTCCACAATACATTTCAACACAACAGGAGTAGTCAGCCAAGATGTTCCAAGATCGACCGAACCCAACCAGAAACAGGGACCACCCGCGAAGGGTCAATCATGGTCAATCCAAAGACATCGAAAGAGCCCTTGCAGTCGCCGGCAGGGATCACCTGGGACGATGCCCAGGTGGGCAGCGTAGGTGGGCATCTTGACTCTTCCCAGTCGCCCAGCGTCCCTCTCAGCAGTCCAGCTCTTCAGGTGAGGCGCAACCACAGGGACTCAATCTGATCGTTGCAGTCTGGGGTGTACTTCTTGGATGCCTCGAGTCAACGGTTCGGAGCTTTTTGGCGTCGCCTACGCCTTCTCTCCTGAAAAAAAGACATGGGATCAGCTGTAGTCTATGCCAGTCCCATAGAGTCTTTGGGATATGTTTCTCCATACAGGACCGACACCAAGAGGTGTCTAGAAAAAGCCTCTTAGAGGTTAAGGGGCGTCCCAAAAACCACCAGTTGGAAGGTCCTCCATGCTTCTTCGACTCCCACTTCATCGCTCCAAGTGGCTTCAGGCAGGTGCGCGCACCAGTCAGGCTTCCTGCTACGCGCATCGACGCGACGCCTTCCACGAAAAAGCGGAGGGGCTGCATGCCATGCGGTCGGCTGCAAGCCGCCGACTGGTCGGCACTGGCGTAGGTCCGGTCCCAAGCGGATGGTCATGCCAATCGACTGCACGATCCAGATCCCAGAGACGGAGTTTCATCCAGTCTCATCCAGTGAATGTGAATTCGGGGCACCCCGACTTCCAAACATGAACTCAAAACGAAACACATTGGCCAAAACGACCTGTCGGACTATCTAAGACTCCTTAGGAGCCTGGCACTGACAAGGACTTGGGATGTAAGACCTGTCGCACTATCTAGGACTCCTTAGGAGCTGGCACGGACTTGGGATGTCTGGCTCGAACTCTCGCACTTTCTCTGAAAGGAAAGAAGACCCATGAAGAAACATCTGCGCCCATCCACTGGGTCCAAGAAACTCCTTCCACTCTCCAGGCTGCGGAGAATCACGGGATGGTTCCGGATGCTTCTGCAACCTTCTGCATTTTCATTGGGGAACATCGATCCTTTCCCTCCCTGCAAAGCCAGCTGTGGGCCCCCTGCACTCGTAGGTTCTGCAGCATGTTTTGTTACTTGTTTTCCCTTCCGGGGGGCCTATATAGCCTAGGATCGCCCTGGATCGCCCTGGGGTACGAGACCCCCCATGGAACCTCAAAACCACGTCGGGTTGCAGAGGAAAAATCGTCTTCCAAAGATCAGGTTCCCCAGGTGTATAGTATACACTCCTGAAAACTCACAGAGACCCCGACTGTCTGCCCCCCTGGAAGATGGTTTTCCTCTTACCAACCAGTGGTTTTCAGATTTTTCAGGGTCCATGTTAGCTTTCCAGCATGTAATTCTTTATGCTAGGGATCGAACTGGTGGGGTCTCCCTCTTCTAAACGCACACCCCCACATGCCTCCCTCCGCCTCCGTCTTCCACGCCTGGCCGGCTTCTTGGCCGGTGCCGCCGGTGAAGCGGCCGGTGAAGCGGCTGGTGAAACGGGCGGTGGGCCAGAGCCCAGGGTCGCGCACTCCTCAAGCAGTTGCTCCGGGCAGTTGCTCCGGGCAGTGCCGAGGCGTGGAATATGATGGTCGAGGTCACACCGATCAGAGTTGCAACTTGTTGAATGATAACAAACACCACGAAGCCATGATAGGTGCGTGTAGGTGAATGCTGATAGACCTCTTCTGTTTGGGTTTCGGGACGTTTCAGGTGTGCATTGATGGCGCGAATCTTTGTCGTCGAAGAACTGGTTCACGTGTCTAATAACGTGGACAAGCTGGTCAACTCAATCCAACATCATCCTAATTAAGAAACACAAATCATGTTAGCGCACAATCTGATACAGCTTAGGGCGGAGCAACTAAGAAGCGTTCGGTTCTGTTGAACCAGTCATCAGGGGTTCAAGTAGAGGGGCTCTCGGTCGGTCTATCATCTATATATGCATGTTCTTGATCCTTTGGAACCACAGCTATACCAGCTAGATGGCTGCCGGTCGTGCCACCCGAAACCCTCTTCACCTCCCTAGTCCGTTCATGTTCCATCAACGTCGGGTATTTACCCAACTTATCGACCCACCACATCCCACAGGTCCCACAACGGGATGGTTTGAAGTCCCTCTATTATAAGTGAGTGGATGCGACTTCCGGGGCACCTGTACTCCTTCCTCCGTTCGGCACCGGCACCCCGTCGAGCGTGACTCCTGGTATAGTGTTATGGTGATTTGGATTCGACACAACCGAATTCAATCCTGCCGGTCCGTCCAATCGAAGCGTCCATTTGAAAGAAAGAAAGTTAGGGGTTGACAGCCTTCTTTGACCCCTCCGGTCCCATCTCCTCGACATATGGCTTCGCTCCCTGGTAGACGTGCTGACACCAAGCCTCGAGCCGAACTTCGCTCCGTCGGACGAGCTCAGCCGAGCCAATTCGGAACACTTAAGAGATCCTAAGTAAGGCCAGGAGCCCCGTTCGTAGCGTCCGATCGCTCCTAGTAGGAAATTTTTAAGGCCAAGAGCTACTAGTAGCGTTTTTGTTCCTAGTAACGATGCCCTTTGCTACTAGTAACTTACCATGCTGAGTGGGGACTGGCACTGAGGGGCCGTGCTTTAAGGGACCACCACCGTCATAATTCTCTATGCCGAATGGGGACCATGGGGACTGGCACTGTGTCAACGCAAAGTCTTGATGGTTTTGTAGAAGGCAACGCGCATCTTGACCACTGAGCATGTTTGGGGGGCAGCTTCCACCGCGGCCGGTCACCAAAATTGAAAACACCAACCACAAAAGCTGCACTTTTCGTGGCAGGCGCAGTATTTTGTGCAAATTCTCGTGGCAGGTGCAGGGAATCGTGAGGTTGCAAGGTGTGGTGGACGTGAATGTCGCTGTGACATTGGGATTGGCGTGTGAGCGGGTGTTGTTTGGAGGAGCTGGAATTGCGAAACTGCTTGGCAGCGTGGCTTGATGTGTGTGCTCTGATGGAGCTTCCCGCTTGACTTTTGAAGGAAGTCTCGTACGAAATGCTCGTTATGGAGACTTTGACATGTCACTTTTGGAGGAAGTCTCGTACGAAACGCTCGTTTCGGAGACTTGACGCGTGACTTTTGGAGGACGTCTCGTACGAAATGCTCGTTATATGGAGGCTTGACGCGCGACTTTTGGAGGAAGTCTCGTACGAATCGCTCGTTTTGGAGATTTGACGCGTGACTTTTGGAGGAAGTCTCGTGCGACACGCTCGTTTGGCAGACTTCAAGTGTGACTTTTGGAGGAAGTCTCGTACGAAATGCTCGTTTTGCCGGCTTCAAGGGTGAGTTTTTGAGGATATCTCGTGCGAAATGCTCGTTTGGGAGACTTGACGGGTGAATTTTGGCAGAAGGCTCGTATGAAACGCTCGCCGTGACGGTTGACTTCACGACCACAAGCGTGTCCTACAGAGTCCTACAAAGGAGTTTCCCACAAGAGTGTCCTACAAGCATGTCCCAAAGAGTGCGTGTCCCACAAGAATGCCATACGAGAGTGTCCCAAAAGAGTGATCCCAAGTGTGTCTTACAAGAGTGTTCCCGCAAGAGTGCCGTGCGAGAGTGTCCCACATCAGTGCCCCGCAAGAGTGACATATAACAGTGTCCTATAGAAGAGTAACAAACAAGAGTGTCCCACAAGCATGTCCTACAAGAGTGCCCCACAAAAGTGTCCAACCAGAGTGTCCCACAAGAGTGTCCTGCAAGGATGTCCCACAAGAGTGTCCTACAAGAGTGTCCCAGAAGAGTGTCCGACAAGAGTGTCCTACGAGAGTGTCCCACAAGAGTGTTCCGCAAAGGTGTCCTACAAGAGTGTCCCACAAGAGTGTTCTGCAAGGATGTCCCACAAGAGTGTCCTACAAGAGTGTTCCGCAAGAGTGTCCCATAAGAATGTCATAATATATGAGCGTCCCACAAGGGAGTCCTACAAGAGTGTTCCGCATGAGTGCCCCGCAAGAGTGTCCGACAAGAGTGTCCCACAAAAGTGTCTCCTACAAGAGTGTCATGTCAAAAATTCTTTGGGTGTTTCTGGCGAGTACGTGTTTGCAGTCGGGTTCGTGGTTCTATCTCTTTTTTTTTCTCCCCCGCTTCTTTTACGGCCGCACAGGAGGGGGAGCGGCCGGGGGGGTCCAGCTTATACCGCCCAGGGAGGCGGCTGACCGGTGGCCGGTCGAGCCACGGTGCATCTGCGAGGGTGGTGCGGAGCGGCGAGGACTCGCCATCGAGGAATTCCTCCGCAGTGTGGGGGAGTTCCAGCAACCGAAGGAGAAACAATAAAGGGCTAAAAGAAAGGAGAATTCAATCATGGCGCCTTCCAAGTCAATCGCCTCAAGCTGGATTCGGCTTTGGCGGCGGTGGCCGCATGATGGGCGGTTCTGTTGCTTTACTGGTGGATCTGGTGTCAAATTGGCTCGGGCACAGTTCACGGCATAGAAGGGATCTGTCTCAAGGCGCTCTCGAAGTGTGGCAGCACCGCGCTTCTTTGCCTGGCAAATATGGGCCTTGGCATTGTCGCGCAGTACACCAAATGCTGATCTGGCGCCTCGGCGCTCGGTATCCCCGGCCTCCTCGGCTGAAATCATTTGGCAGCGCAACACTCGGACATCCTGGCTGATCCATCATGTCGAAACTGGAGCTGGACGACGAAGCAGCTGGGCGAAAGCTTCGGCAGCCTGATTGCCAGCCCAAGGAGGCAGCCGGCAAAGAGGTCCAAGGGCAACACAGAGGAGGACTTTGGCAGTACTTCCAATCTCACCAACGTCGTGAAACTTCTCACGAGACGGGGAAGGCATCTTCAAGCTCTTGCCACCAGCGACTCCTTCATCCTATTCATGCAGATAGCACCGTCAGGTCTCCTGCCCACAATACAACGCTCAAGAAGACTAAGGAATGGAAGAAAGCGGCAAAGAAGAAGGAAGCCCCGATGGCTCTCCAGACGCTTCTGTTCAGCATGTTGGTATGACTATGACACTGCAAGAGAGGGTGACCAGGCTATCCACAGCCAACTCCACGAGCGAGATATGGAAGGAGGCAATGGACCACCAGGTGATCGACAACCAGGGCTCGTGGCCGGTCCTGGGCTGGGGCAGCACCTCCAAGCAGCTGAAGATCATGGACAAAGTGCTGCGCCTGCAACGAAATCTACTTTGAAGCTGCTGGTTTTACTAGTGAGTTAAGTGAATTCAGTGAGCTTCCACACCTTGGTTTCCTCCTTCTCTTTCTTGTGCACATAGAGCTTCCCCAGCTGAATGTGCTTGTGTGCTGCCAAAGCAATGGCTTGTGTATCTTTGGCATCCATCAAAGACTTGACACTTTGTGAGGACACAGCCTTGGCTTCAGGTGCAGAGACAGCTGCAGTCTCCTTGTCAGCCTGCAACAAGTCATCCTCAAACCGGTTCTTGATATCTTCAAAAGATTCATACTTGGTTCCTTCCCTTCCCTTGACTTCCTTGTCCAGGAGGTGGAGGACCACTCGAATCTGAAATTTGCCAAAGACTTTGGCAGTCTTTGTTATGGGGAAGCCAGATTTCCCCACAGCCTCCCAGGCTGCACACATCAGCTGCTCTGCCTGCTCCAACTTAGGCAGGTGCTTTTTTTGCTTCAACTTGTCAAAATCTCCTTTGGTGATCATTCTGGAGAATCCATCCTTGCACTGCTGCTTGGGTGCTGTGATTTGAGCTGCACACATGGCAACTCTCATGAATGGCAGTGTTGTGGTTGGCAGCTTCCAGTCTGTATAGGCCACAAGGCTACAGAATTCTCCTCCAAGCATCACAGATGCTCCATATGATCGTCCTCAGCATGGAGAAAGCCAAGGGGATTATGTTCAAAGGCATGCATTCAATGAGCCTGCACAGGCTGCAATGTGTTTTCACTTGTCATCATGGGCCTGTATGGCCAAGCCTGCACAGGCCTATATGTAATGGTTGAATGGTTGAATGCCTGTAATGGCTGAAAGTTGGATATTGCAGTATGCAACAAAGAAGTAAATGCAATCGAGAATCCAATCAAGTCCAAGTACTTGAGTAGTTTGAAGTCCTCTCCTCCTGCATAGCTTGCAGCAAAATTGCCGATGGTCTTTATGTAAGGCTTGCAGGGTGGACAGCTAGCAGCTGCCTGACCAATTGCCTTCTTGAGGTCCTTGCCGCCAGCAGCTTGGAAACCATATGTATGAGCTATTGTCATCATTACCTCCAACTCACTTGGAGGTTTGCCAATGGAAAGATCGCCTGATGTTTCCCAATTTGGCAGATTGGCATTGAAGCCACATGAACCATACATCTATGTAGAGAACATTAGAGAACAAAATGCCAATATATAAACAAACTCACAGCTTTAATTGAATAGGTGCACATACTTGTATGGCTGGCAATACATCCCAAAACTCCAAAGCTTTGAGGAAAACATGAAAATTTGTTGGTGTATACCAGTGGCTGTTGTATGCCTGCCTGCTGTAGCATGGTTGCTAAATTGGGGACTTCCTCATCAACCTTGCAACTGATAATGGTCCACTGCCATCCTTGAAACATCATGTTTCCCAGGTCGTCACCCTTGGCCACCAGCTGTTCAACTGAAGCTTTGCCAGGCATGACCTCACATCCTGCTTCTAGGCTCCGCAAGAAACAGGTTGTGTGGCTGGAGGATAAAAAGCAAAATCTTTCTTGCCCAAAAGGTCTGCATAATATGCCATCGGATTGTTCTGCCAGGGTCAAGTTGGCCTTGACAATGGTTTGTCTCTTGGCCTGGTCCACAGGAAGTTCCAAGGCCACAGATTGTCTCACTTTTTGTAAGTCCCACCCTAGCTCTGAGATAGCCTGCCCCTTGGAGGCTACATCATAACCGTTGACCATGGCACCACCTCGGTTTGAGGTGTGAACTAGGACATCCTTTGGCCTCACTGTGGCCTCGTAAGCAAGACCATTCTCTTTGAGAAGTGCCAAAGCTTTAGCAGCTTTCATGTTGATGGGGTCAGCAGACTCCATCACAGCATGCAATTGATTTACCCATGGCAAAGACATCGCAAGTGTTCAAGGAACTTTGTTCAAGAATTGCATCATGTTTTGTGACTGCACACATGGCCATGTCCATTGACCTTTTGAGCATGCCATGAAAACATCACATGGCCTCATGGCCTCACACGGCCTCATGGCCTCATCACACCTTGAAAGTGTGCAGCTGCATGGAATTCATGTGCATGCAAGCTGCTCGAAAGGAAGCCTGTACTGGCAATAGCAATTGAAAGCCTGTATTGGCTGACAATGCCTGTATTGGCTGACATGCAAACTTGTTGTTTTGTGTTCCAAAGAACAATAAATATATATTGTTTTTAAATAAAATATTCACACACAAAACTAACAAAATTGTTGTTTAAAACTGGAAAACAACATATCTAACCTTTAGTATCTCATCAATTTTTTTAAGATTGTTAAACATGTTAGCCTAACAGTTAAAAAAAGACAGATAACTATCTTAAAAAATATAACTACTTAACAACATTATAACTGGTTATAACTGGTTATAACTCATTGCTAGAGTGTTACTAAAGTGTTATTAAGTAGTAAGTAACTAGTGTAACACTGATAACACATTAGTAAAACCAGCAGCTTCAAAGTACACTTCGAGGTTTGTGCCTGCCACGAAATCTGCACTTCGAGGTTCACAAAGTGCTGTGCCTGTCACGAAATCGGCGCTTCGGGGTTCACAAAGTGCTGTGCCTGCCACGAAATGTTTCACAAAGTGCTGCGCCTGCCACGACATCTGCCCGCCTGATGAGTTCTTCGAGCTGTTCGATCGCTGGCCTCACCGCGGCCCACGTTTTGACTCGTTCAGGTTGGAGAATTGCTTGAAGTATATTGCGTTTCCGTCCCGAGGTTCGGGGATCCCAACGACGGTGAACCCGTCGATATGCTTCAAATCCATTTGAAGCTCCTACCATCAAATCTTCTGTTTCACCTGAGGTCAGGGTCAGGAGGACGCGATGAATTTGATCAGCTTTATCCTCTAGATCATCGATGGCTGCTATGGTACCAGTCCCAAATGCGGACTCCATGGCACTCATTTCAATCGCGTCTTCCTGCTCCAAAATATACTCAAGAACTTCAATGAATTCTCTCCCAAAAGTGGTTATGAACAGGTTGTCAATACTCCTGGCCCACTTTCGGAAATCCCCCTCCACATTCCCAAAGCTCTCAGGGCGTCCCAAACCTTTGGTGTCCATAAGTATTTGGGACTTTCGTCTATCTTCCTTTTTCTCAAGGCTCTTAGCCAGTTCTCCTACTGCTGAGGCCAACATTGATACTCCACCTTGAGACTCCCTCAACACCTGGTTTTCCTGTTCCAAACGTGCTTGGTTTTGCTGGAGTTGCAAAACCATATCAGACAACTGTTGAATCTGCTGTTCCAATGCCATGGTTCCCCGATCTCAACCCCTGTCGGCGCTGCTCTCGGCCCCTTACCAGGCCGGTCCAAGGGCTTTCACCCTTGGGAAGGTTTGGAAGCTTTTGGCACTCCACGGACCTCGATGGTGGTCCGTGTCAGCTCTTCCGGATTGCGGCCTACTGTCGGTGTGGCCTTTGCTTTGGCCTTCTCTTTTGGTCTTGGTGTCAAGTTCACCTTTGGCGCCGCCTTTGACTTGGCGCTCGATCCAAGCCGAGCAGGGCCCTTAAGTCCCCGTCGCTTGATGTAGTCCTGAGCCACAGGCAACTGCGCCTGTCTTCGTTCGTCACAACTACTACAGGCCTCGTTGGATCCTCTCTTTCCTTGGTCGTTGGGGGTCTTCCAGAGTTCGCGAATGGCGGCCTTTGCAACGGTACCTTTAAGGCCTCGCTGCTCAACAAGTTCGTCGGCCGCAATCTTTCGCACTTGGAATGGGCTCTCCAATTTCCAATTTTCAATCGGCAATCGCTGGGCCCGCTCGTTGGCTACTTTGAGGTTCACAAAGTGCTATGCCTGCCACGAAATCTGCACTTCGAGGTTCACAAAGTGCTGCGCCTGTCCCGAAATCTGCACTTTGAGGTTCACAAAGTGCTGCGCCTGCCACGAAATCTGCACTTTGAGGTTCACAAAGTGCTATGCCTGCCACGAAATCTGCACTTCGAGGTTCACAAAGTGCCGCGCCTGCCATGAAATCTGCAAACGAGCCACATGTCGACTGTCACGAAATCTGCACTTCGAAGTAAAGCCGCTCCGATCCCTTACGCCTGTCACGAAAAGTCGACTTTGGACCACCAAAACATGAGGTTTCCCTTGCGCCTGCCACAAAAGTGACCACCATGTGCGAAAATGCGCACGGCACCACAACGAAAGCGCAGTCGCTAGAAGCACCCGCCACGGCCACCCAGATTTCGCGAGCCTGCGCAGTCGAAATGCACTTCGAGGATTTCGAGAGGCATGCATGTACTGTAGATAGCAGCGAATTAGCCGGTCACGCCCGCGCGCCCCAGCGATCTAAGCACAGCTGCTTAGCTACTACCGTAAGAACCCCCAAGTGTGTCCACACTGTTTGGGGACAAAAAGAATCCATTGTGCTCCATCACCTTCCGTGTCTCCAGGGCCTTTTCCCCACTTCCCGCGACCTTGGATTTGCTTACTGTGTCGCTCAAGGAACCAAAGGACCTACCCAGAAGAGGATTGACCCATCTGGAAAGCAACCAATCACCTGATCCGCCCCTCCAGGACCCTCGACCCTCCAGGACCCTCCACCCTCCACAACTTGATGTGACTGCCACCGCGTCGCTGGCTTGCCATCAGGGCCTTTGGGTTCGTCGCTGCGGTCCGGTTTGCCAAACCAGCAGGGTGGCACCTCGGCAGGTTGGCACGAACGAACTGCCAGCTGCCAGTGGTGTGGTGCAGGGAAGGAGTGGGGTGTGGCCTAGTCTGAGCAGAATCCGACAGTCGCATCCTGCTAGAACAGTGTGGCTTTGGAGGGTATGTCCGGGTACGTGCTTCCGACGTGTAGCATCTCAACGAACCGGGTAGAGAGTATCAGCTTCAACACTTCCCCGACCCGGTCTTTCCATCTGCTTCCACCGCGGGAAGGACCATGATCTCAGCACCCAAAGTCTCTGATGCGGGAAGCTATGACATATGTTATGTCACATAAACCTTAAGCTACCAGGACCCTCCAAGGGGTGCCCTGTCTGGAAGCCTAGTGGGGTAGTGTGGGGTAGTCCATTGGACACCCCTTGGAGGGTCCAGGTATGTGAAGGTAGCCTACCTGCATGCACATAACGATCTCTCATTTCCGGAGTTTTTAGTCGAGTTTCTGTGGATGGTGAAGCCAAGTCGGCAGGAACCACAGTACACCCACTGTTAGTAGTTGACTGACAGCTCGACTAACTGATGTTGCCGTCTTTTTCAGGAAATGGACTTGTCACCGTGCTTGTGTCGTCACGTGGCAGGGTGGCTTCTCTTCTTTTGGGGGTAGCCCACACGACACCGATTCGTGACCCAGTGTTCGTCATGGATTCTTCATGAGATCTGTGGCTACACGGCTGCTGTTTGCACCGTGCGCTTGGTGCGGTCCGACCGCACCCCGTGGCGGAACAAGCAGCCCACCGACGTCAACCGAGGTGACCGCACAGGCTTTCACCAGAGGTTGAAGGACCCTGTAGACTATCCCAATAGGTGCTCCAGTGCGGTCCTATAAGTTAACCTTTCTGGAGGGTGAGCAGCCTTGAATCACCTGCATTCTACCGCCCTGCTCCGGATACCGCTGGCACCGCCGGCCTCCAACATCGGGAAAGCCACCGACGCCTATCCCGCGCCCGGTCCCCAAGCGCTCCCACGGTCCCGTCCGAGGCCGGCGCTACGAACTGGACGATCCACGGGATGTGTCCACACCAGCTGGGTGAGTCCACCAAAAGCTTCCTCAGCAAAACGGTCGTCCAACACCGTGCACCACGGAGGGGGTGAACCTTTCCGCGCACGAACGGTCGGACGAAGGACCATGACGGTCCAACGCTCGTTGTGAACCACCATGGCGAAGATGGAACGATCCGGGAAGAGAAGCTGCTGAGGAGGAGCTTGACACGAAAAAACCTGCAGTATTTTGCTGACACTACTGCTGACACTCTCTAAGTGACTGCTGACACTCTTCTTCAGATGAGAACATTGATCGTCTGGCGGAATTCGGCCGAATCACCTTAGAATTCTGTCTGTGGTAAGTCAAGCCATGGGACTGCCATGTATGCCGCCCCAGACAGACCCCCTGGCACCACCCCTGGCCGTTTCTCGGCAGTCCGACATGGCAATCCCATGGAGTGTTTGGGTGTGGTAAGTCAAGCTGGCTCAGCTTAGGTCAGAAGGACGGACCGCCAAACACGACCAGTCTGTCGACAGACTGGTCGGCGTTCGGCTCGGCGTAGGCATTGGTGATAGTCATGATTCCCTAGGGATCCGGTCGTACCTCCTCAGAAGGTAGGGCTGGACCCTCCAATCCTTACATAACAGTGTCTCCGTCCTCACCTTCTGAGGAGGTACTTGGAGCCCTAAGGATTGGATCTTCATGGATCTTCGCTACGTTTGGTGGACGGGGTGAACAACATCCGGTCGGGTTCAACGGCAGGTTTGCACCTGGCCGTCCTGGACCAAGGAACAGTGTGCCTGACCAAACGACACGGAAGATGTCCTTTTACATAGTTGGTATGAGTCACCCCAGCTGAAGAACACCAAAACTGTTTGAAACCACCAGCCACCAACCACGAGCCAGGCCGATATATGCCTATCCCACCACACCAAATGGAAGAAGGTAGCCATACAAAGCAGCACACTCTTAGGGTACCCTACAAGTCAAAAACCTCATTTTACTGGGGATGGTCATACAAAACCAATACTTAATAGAGGTCAAGTCGACCAGGTTTTACTGGGTCAGACTGGACTTGTAGGGGTACCTAGATCGTCTGCTCCTCTCCCACCCTCTCAGATCACGTGGGACCTGCACGAAGCGAAACTGGAGTCCATGGCGAACATTCGCCCTCCGCCGACGTCACTGAACTGCTGGCCACACGGATGACGTTGACGGAAAAACGAGCCGTTTCGGACCAGAACTGGTGAAGCAAACGAAGTCTACCTGTTGGTGTTGAGTGGGGTGTCACCACTTCGTCCCCTGTTTTTCCAGGTGATCCACTTTGACTGGCCATGGGTAATGTCATCCAAAGGGGTCCTTTGGCGCCAGAACAACCGTGGGAAGGAGCATCGAAAGCCTTGCGCCATGACTCCCGTAAACGCCTTCGGCTTCCTCGCTGGAGGATGAAAGTTCCATCTTCACCTTGGGACGAAAGCGGCGGAAAAAAGGCAGGCGCTGAGGGAGGCTTCTGACCGTCGCAGCTCTCAAACAGGGGGGTTATCATTTCTCCTGTTTGGCTCAAACATCACCTCTGATATGGCTCAGAGTCCAAGACAAAGATCACTTAGATTCTAGGCATAGTGGTGTTCATGACTTTCCTCTGACACCCAGATTGTTGGGCAAAAAACCTTGCACACCCCAAGTAAAGCAAATATTGATCGTATACTTCTCAATTCTGAAGTATGTATGGGGTGTTCAATGCTCTGGAACTATTCTGGAGCAGCCCTCGTAGATTCCAGCGACCAAAATAGAGGCGATACTCTGTCAGGGGTGTTCCCAACATCAGGAAGGAATTAGCATGGTGACCTGAACCACACGAGTGGGTTCATTTACACCAGGAGTCACAAACAGGGGTGCCGAACTTGGAGGATAGGGGTGCCCCAAACACCACCCAACTCCTTGTGACTCCTGGGCGTAGATGAATCCAAGAGCTTTTTCAGCTTTGAAGGCCAAGTGGATGTGGAAGCCTCTGCCCAAACTCGAGATCAGCACCCAAGCCACAAAGTCCATAAAGAACCCCAAAAGTCCTGGGGTTTTCGCCAGGCGTGGTCTTCAACGGTCAGGCCCTCCAATTCAAACAGTAAACCTGTCACACTGGATTCATGAGTGAAATGATCCAGGACTCTTTGGTATAAGCTTCCGGATGTCTGAATTCATCAGTGCCCCTGGTTCCTCACCTCTTTTCTCCAACTCATCTACATCCCTACAGGTATAGCCTCCTCTCCTTCAAAATGACCACGCTCCCGTTCCAGCGTGAGGTTTTCCAAGCAGAAAGGCCTGCAGGAGCTGCGTTCGCAGCTGGGCCAACTCCATCGCTTCCTCCTCCAGAGCGCGCTGGAGAGTCGCATGGAGCGCATCAGGACGTGAGCTGTGTAGCGACCGGTCTTAGGGAGACCTCCTAGGCACCCCAACACCCAGGAAGAAGGAACATAGACAAAAAGCCTACAAACATCCATTGGTTGGGGATCTTCCTAATACACACATCGATCTGTCAAAAGCTACCCTGAGTGGAAGTTTCGTACACTTGGCTTAGCTTGCGGTCAAAAACACCATACAACACGTGAACAGTATATAGATACGAGTATCAGTTTCCTTCCAAAGTGGGTCTTTGATGGTATTCGTTGGGTATATGGTTAGTTCTATCCCATTCCCTGGGCCCAGTGGATGATGATGGTTGGCCAACATCCCAAGAAAAGTGATAAAACTCGACCTCTTACTGACGGCTCTACAGGTTGTCCCTGGGACACCCCGAATCAAAAGTCAATGACCAAGTCTAAGACCTTTGGAAAACGGTCTTGGTTGATGTTGATGTTCCTTACATGGACTCCTTATAAATAAGAAGGACACCCCCCCAAGGTCTTTGGCATTTCCTGAAGCATGGTGAGCCGAACGAACTCGTTGGTGACGTAGCAGGGGATCACCCATCTTTGATTTAACGGACAAAAAGAGGCTTTATCGGTTCCTGAGAGAGTATGCCCCTCAAAATGCACTCGCGACAACTAACATGGACCCTGAGAATGGTAGTCTGAAAGACTGTTGTCCTCCACAAACCAGTGGTTCTCAGGGTCCATCTTTACTCTTGCAAGGAGTATATCGAGAGATGTATGTATGACTGCAGTGACACAAATTATGTATGTTGTTTAATGTCTTTCTTTTTGACAGTTTGGATCGTACATGATTGTACTATCCTGAGACTAAAATTTATTTTTGCTGTACTCCTTAGAATCCAAAATATCCAAATGAGTACATTATCCTGAGATATCCTGAGATCCACCTCGCCCCAACAAAAACACACACTGGGACTCCGAAGTCTCAAGGTACACTGCAGTCCTCCTCCACACAGGCTTGGGAGTCCAAGCAAGCAGCATGAGCCACCGCCAGGGTCCAAGCAACACCTTAAAAAGCCGTGTGGGCCCAGTCGCTGTGATCCGGGCGAAACACCCATGCACCACATATTGTGGTGACCCTATAGGTCCAAATGCTGTGGTCGAATGGGTTGGGGGTCATATACCCATACACTCCATGGGACTGCCATATATGCCGATCAGTTGGGGTGGTGCCAGGGGGGTCAATGTAGCCATATATTCCATACATGGAGTGTATGGGATAGGAAGACTGCCCCATCCCGAAGTTTCACAAGGATCGAGTCTAGCTCCATGGGCGTTGGCGAGCCTTGTTTGGAGCGTAGAGAGGTCACCATGGAACACCTGGATGGGTGGTCTTTTCCACCTTGCTGCCTCACAACACAGTGCCCAAATCAAGCGATCAATGGGCTAGCGGATCATTCTCTTTGAATGATCCGCCATTGTCCCACAGAACTGTTGCAAGAAGCTCACAGCCCCAGTTCTCCAGCTTTTCCAGCATTTCATCAAGAGCCTGCCTGACGTCAAGCACCTTCTGGCTGGCGCGGACAAACATCTTCCTGCCTGCCTCTTGTTCGTTCAATCCTGTGAGGCTGAGTCGGACGTGGCCTCCAGGATGCTTGAACAAATGAATGCCCAGCGGGCTGTAAATTGCAAGCCAAAGCTCGTCAAAAAGCTCACGGTCACGAGTACCCGCACTTGCACACTTGATGCCCGAAAATTCACATTGCCAACGCCTGAGGGCATTGTTGAGGCGCATCTGCCCGTGCTTCACTTCCACTTTGACGCCTCCACGAACCCAGTCTACGGCAGAAAGGCATCTTGAAAATGCACCCGGGGAACAATTTGGATGGAGAATTTGATCCACTTCGAATGCCATGTCCTTAATTCGCAAACCACGCGTTGTAGGATTTGCGCCATTGAGGGGGACCCCTTTGTATGCGTTGTCTTGGAGCGTCTTAATACCTTTCATTTGCCTTTTCAGCCAGCTGCTGACCTGAACCGCACATAAATCTACTTGAGCCACCAGTTCGCAGTGACCGTCAGCCAAGAACTTGCCGAGGATTTGAGATCGTGCTTTTTGCCAACCTTCTTGCCGACAAGCACTACACATGCGAATGCAGTGGCCACCATATCCTGTTCGCTTGCCACTTGAGGTAACTCCTGTCTGAAGGTCATGCTTGATGATGTGCAAGCTGTCTGGGCTGAATATTATGAGATACAAGTCATCAAAGGGAGCCTGGTCCCGAAAACCTTGCAATGGCAACTTGATGCTATGAAAGCTGACACCCCACGACTTCTGCGCCTTCCTCCAAGACATCTGCGCACTCTTGCACCGAACTTTGCGGCCATCCAGAATGAAGTCATACTCCGCCTGTGAAGCTGACCTTCGAGCTCCATTGCAACAGGTCCCCAAACGAGGTTCCTCGATTTTACTGTCCGGATGCAGCTGGGCCAGCGTCTTCTTGCAAAAGTCGTTCAAGATCCTTCCGCGGCGCTTGGGGGACTGCAAGGACAATGCATGTCCCGCGTGGCTTGCGTAGGCCTCGTGTGTCTGCCCAAGATCATGCAGAAGGTGCTGGAACTGTGAGGCTTTCAACACCAAACACCTCAATGGCCATCCAAGACACAACGCAAATACGATGGCGGCTACAGGAACACCTGGCCGCGACATTACTGTGTTTGAGCCAGAATTCCTCGCGGCACCCTTCCAAACAATTGCACCGTGTCTCTATATCCGTCTCCCAGCCGAGCTAAGAAAAACTTGACGGGCTCAAGTGACCCCCAAGATGTCGGACACATATATCGATAAGCAGAATTCCATCAAATTTCTAGCATGAAAGTCACTGGTCCATGCCTAGCTGCTATCCGAATCCCCTGCCAACAAAAACCACCACCACCACCACCACCACCACCACCACCACCACCAAACAACAACAACAACAACAACAACAACAACAACAACAACAAAAACAAAAACAAAAACGAACAACAACAAACAACAACAATGCATGCAAACCTCTTCTTCGACCCCCCATGCCAGCCTTCTCCGTCATCGACTCCGTCTGACCCGAAACCTACTCGAAGTGGCAAGCTGGTCGACTTCTTCAATGACCCAGCTACGACACACCTGCAGGTAGTACTTAGTCTTTAACACCACCCCCCCAAACTGCTGTATACAGTAACAGCATGTAACAGCCAACTACCGCCAACTGCTTAGAGGAACATCTTCTTTCCGGCGGACCTTTGTCCGCCAACGCGCCGGGGTTTCCAGGACCGACCGGAGCTCGCCACTGGGTGGTGGAGAAAGCCACGGATGGGTGGAGGAGAAAGCCGAGCTCGGTGGCGCTCGGCAGCGCTGCCGAGCTCGGAACACGGCAGTCCCGACAGCTGGGTGCTTTGACTTGTCTGGCCTGGGCCATCTACCCTGAGGAACCAGCATCTAAAGGGTCTATCCAAATTAGTTTGGGCAAACTACATGGGTGATTTCTGGCCAGTCTCGCTACATGCCAAATGCCAACTGCCCGGAACTCAAGCCGCCCCCCCCAACAAACCACCGTTGAAATCCACGGCACGTGCCATGGCCATGGCTGCGTCGAAAATGTATCGCTGCGCGGTCGGTCTGCACCACGAGCAGCGCACGGCGGTTGGGTTTTCGGCGGTGCGCTGGCGGTTTTCGTGGTTTGGGCCCAGGCAGCGGACATCGAGTGTGGAGCATGAAGACTCATGCTCAAGGAGTCGTAGCCGGCTTCACACAGGGTGAAAGGAACTTGAAGAGCATTGAAGAGCTGGTAGACGGTCTAGAAGGGGCTGGGGCACAACAGTTAAAGAGGCCCCAGCACCCCATAAGGTAGACCCTGTTGAGATACTGAAGGGGACAGACCTTGCATGTCATCTGTCATCAACTGTCATCAACGGGCCCTCGGCTGCTTTGACGAAGGTGCCTTGGTTCATCTCCCTCGGTTACTTTGAGGCGTTTTCCGGTCAAAACATGCTTGGATCCCTGATACAAATCAACTCTGGATCCCTGGGTCCCCATGTCTCATGAAGCCAAGAGGGTCGCGATGCTTCTTCCTTTCGGAGGGTCGTTGGCCAAGAGGTGCTGGTAGTATCTGGACCAACTCTGAACATGTGGGTCACTCAAATTTGGCACTAGGGATGCAATTGGAACACCACCACTGACACGTATTGACTACTGTTATACCACCGCTGTCAACCAGAAAAAAACAACTTTGTTTGGAGCACCTGTCGTTCAAAACTCCCAATCGAAAGCAACTCCCCCCGAGGACCAGACATGATGAATGGCCCTGTGCCAAAAACACGTGAACCAGGACCTTCAAAGTGACCGAACTTGAGATCCCGAGGTCACGACTCGTCCATAAAGAGGTCACGGACCAGACTCCGAGGTCACGTCCTGAAGGTCCTGGAACATAATCACAATTTATAGCAGGCTTGGTTGTTCCCTCCCGTCCTTGTGCATCCTGTCCCTGTCCGTGACGACCAAGCAGTCGGTCCCGACGTCCTTGACGTCCGTGCGACACGACCTGGACCTGGGACTGCCAGGACAGACCGCCGCAGACAGACCCCCCTGGCACCACCACCCCTGGCGGTGAAACTCGGTCGTCCGACTATGGCAGTCCCACCTACAGAGGTGGACAGTGACCGTAAATAGGACCGTCACCTGGGGTACCGGTTCCTGGGATAGTCGAACGTTCGGGTTCTGACCCACCTCTGTTGGCAGGTCGTGGGACGACGGGGTGGGGTGCAAACGGACTCAACTCGACCCTCATCGTCCGTCCACGACTGGTGACCCACGGCCGTACCGTACCGGTGTGACAGACTACGAGGACGTGCGACCGGTTCGTCCGCCTAGGTCGGGGAGTGAGTTCAATCATCCCGCTGGCCTACCCGGTTGGTCCATCGAGAGACCAGCGGAAGCCGGAGGTCCCAGCGGATTCCCTGAAATCTGCGGATTCCCTTGACTTATTTAGTGTGTTTTTGTGCCGTTGAGGTCCATATCCTCCAGGGTCAGCCAGGCTTTAAGTGCCACCCATATCGCATATATTCTCCAGAGCCAGCATCTAGTGCCAAGGTAGGGTCAATCCTCCCAACACTTCACCACCAAACAACAGCCAAAGACACTGACTGGGCACACACGGTCGACTCGCGCTTGCAGGGCTCACCGCACTCCTGAGAGTGGAGGAAAACAGCGCGGGGTATAGCCGCGACAGCCGGAGTCCTTTGTCACGGTTGTTTTTTTTTCCCTCAGTTGGTCTCGCAAACACCCGGAAAAGGAAGCAACCACTGACGCACTGTCCTGTCCAACAGAAGGTCTTTCCACTGCACTTCTCCATTGAAACAGCATGTGGAAACACCGAACCACATTTGGACAACCTCCTCAGTTACAGGTAAACTGGTAACCATTGCAAACCTCAGAGCATCTATAAATACTAAACTAATAACCCAAAATCACCCACCGGCTTACCAAAAAAACAATGCTTACACCATTGCACAGGAATTCTTCCCCAAACGAACCACTCTTTCCAATCAATCCACTGGCCGTTCGACATGAATTCTTCCCGCCCGGTTTCGCCGGTGGAAAACGGGTGACCTGTACAAAACCCAACGGGTGAAGCCCCGTCCAAAGAGAAGCTTTGTCGAAGCCTGGATTCAACACCCATACACTCCATGTATGCCATATATGCCTACATTGGGGTGGTTTGGGGGGTCAATGTAGGCATATATGGCATACATGGAGTGTATGGCAAATGATTGCAAATGACGTGGACATTGGGTTGGTCAAAAACCGCCACTTGCAGCCACTTGCCACTTGAGGCGCCCAAAGAAGGAAGTGGCTGCAAGTGGTTTCAAAGGACTACTGTGATTATTGCCGCATTGTTTTTTTTACATGCTTGTCCATCACAAGCAACTGGCTGCAAGTGGCTGCAGGCACTTGGTCTTCTCATTATGGGCGTGATTTTAGTCCGTCTTCGGTGAACTTCCCCCGTCGGGCACTGGAGATATTCCAACACTTTTCGAGGATTTCCACCTTCTTGGCTTTTCATGGCGTGGCGCCTCAAGTGGTTGCCACTCGCTGTTAGAGAGTTTTCTTCTTTAGCTGAGTTTGTCTCCTTCTTCCTACCAGTACTGAACAGTTGCCACATGTTGCAACGTAACTTCTTTTTCAGTCAGTCCGTTTCACCGCTCTTCTGCTTGCCGTTCGAAGAACGGCCGATGGCCGCAAGTGCCTGTAGACTTGGTGGGCATCCTTTTTTGATTTGACATGATTGGTTGGAAAAATGTTTTCATATCACTTTGGGCTCCTCTTATCTGACTGAATCGAAAACAACAGCCACATCCTCTCACATCAAGGCCCGCGAGACGGCGCCAGATGCGCCAGATGCCGGATGTACTACTTGTTTCGCTGTTGCGCAAGATGCTGTGTTTCTGGGCGTTGCGAGAACCAAAGTAAATGGGAGCTAAGACCGCTCTTCTGCGCGAGGTTTGAGGTCGAAGCGTTTCCCAAATCAGAGGTCCATGGATCTGGTTGTACTGGCTGCTCGATCGAACATTCAACATACGCTGGCCCCGGAACAATGGCCAAAAGGCTCAAAACCTCAAGACCTTTTAGGGATTTGCCGGCCTCTCGTCATGGAAGCTTGTGTGAGAAGTCTCATCCAAGCTTTGTACCTCAGTAACCCCCTCCCAGCCACCTTTCAAAACGAGTACCCCACTGGTTACACCAAACCCACCATCTCATCGCCTTTGTGCGAAAAAAGAAGCTAGCCCCTGCCACCTCTTGGCACTTGCAATTGGCACCATCTCCCCAGTGACGTCCCCTCTCTCTCCGACTCCGAGCGTCGAGCCAGGGCTGCCGGGACTCGCCGCGAAGGGGCTCACCATGCCCTTCGGACTGGGACACGCGCAGGGCGTGACCGGCGGCCGCCTCGGGGCACTCGGTGGTGGGGGGCGGTTCCGGGTTGGAGACGAAGCGTGAGGGGCTGAGCATGGCAAATCATTTGGTCATAGATTCCCTTACAGAACAAGCACGATCCATGGGTAGAAGCTATATAGGTTGTAAGCTGACACAATCATACACGATCTATCTTTACATGAACATGTTGCAAACTTTGACCTGAGAAACACACAAAACGAGAGAGGGGGAGAGAGAGTGAGAGTAAGTGTAGCCTTTGATTACGATACAGGTTTCTTGGGAGCTATAGGGTGGAACATTGGAAACCCCACCACTCGAATAATCCACCCTAAATCCTAAAAGCTGAGCCGCAGCCTGTATGTTGACGTGTTAAGCCAGCAGTGCGAAAGAACCCATCGGCCAGCGTGGATTTCCATGGGATGGCATGGCGCCGAGATCAAAACATACCCAGACACTCCATGTATGCCATATAAACCTGCCAATGTAGGCATATATTCCATACACATGCAGTGTTTGGGATGTTCAATTCAAAGTGATGGTGACCTCCTCCACATATCTATGGGGATCTCATGGAGTGTCACGTTCCTTTTGCGCTCATGAAGCTTCCGCAAAAACCCGGGAGACAGGTGGATCATGAGTGCGAGAGGGACTCACCCTTCCACCTGGTTCAAGATCATACCCAGACCATCCATGTATATGGTGTAATTACCAGGACCTTCAGGACGTGACCTCTTTGGAGTCTGAGTCGTGACCTCTTAATGGACGAGTCGTGACCTCGGGATCTCAAGTTCGGTCACTTTGAAGGTCCTGGTACATGGAATAGTTACATCCATTTACCCCATTGGAACATGCTCCCCCCCCATTGCGATGGTCACTCTTCCACCCGTCCGGTCCGTCTGCTCTCGGATCCCACCGACCAACGACGGCACCGGATGGACCGAGATCCACGTCGGATGAAGCGCGGGGGTTCTTTGGAGTGGGGTAGACCAACAAAGGTTGAGGAACCCGAACTAGACTATCCCAGTTCGGTACCCCAGTAAGGTCCTTTCAGGTCACTTAACCTCTCTTGGGAAGAATCCTGTCCCACCTACGAAAAAACACGCGGCCGCCCCCCTATTAAGAGAAGCTCGGTCGCATGTTTCTTTTTTGAGGGGTCCCTGAAATCGGGGGGGTCCAAAATAGGGTCACCTGGAAAGAACTTCAAAAGCAAAAAGTCATCCAAACAAATTTTGTATAAAATCGTTTATTAAACTCATATCAAACATTCAAAAAACCACCAGGTCGAAGGTTTTTCCCCCTTCCCCTACAAAAACCTTTATTAGAATACTGATTCATCATGAGACTAACAACTAAAGCTTTCGAAAGGTGATGTCGCTGTGCCATGCGGTTTTGCACGACCTCGGTGGCGTGAGTCCGTGCCATTGGGGGAATGAAAACCTGCTGGTGTAAACGCGACGTGGTGGAACCTAATAAAAGAAACTACCCCCAAAATCGACCATGTTGGTAGTTTAGTAGCGGTTTGAAAGGGCTGTAATTTATAAACAAATATAAACCGAATTTAGGGTTTCGGAAATTGGGGAGGGCCCCAAAGAACGCGGTCACCGATCTAGTGTTCGGTCGCGTTATTGGCAATAAATGGATTGAAATCCAAACACGCTGACGCGCAATGAGCCAAACACCCACTGGCATGCAAAGTTGCACTGAAACCATCTGGATTCGGAAACCACCTCACGT